AAAAAAAAAAATAAAAAAACACATCATAGTAAAATTAATACCTTCTCAGCTTCGCATCGAAGCTAAAATACCTTCTCAGCTTCGCATCGAAGCTAAAATTAAATAAGTACAAAAATTAAGAATTTAATGTAGAACAAAAGGTTGGTAAAATATTATTTTAAAAATCATCAAAAGAGCGGCCTGTAGTATAAATTTGTGTATCATCAGCAAATAATAAAATCTTAGTGTCATTATCAAAGAAAAGAAGGCAAATCATTTATAAAAAAAATAACGAACCCAAATGAGAGTCTTGAGGTACACCTGAAAAAACAATAAATTCTATCTGTCTTCAAAGCAGATCAGTACAAACTATATCTTAACTCTTTAAATCAAAATAATGGTTCTCTTTGGAAAGTAACGAAATGACTCATAAAAAAAAAATATATATATACCTCTAATACGCCAAAAAAATGACACCTTAGCTATAACGGACCAAGATAAAGCCAACATTTTTGCGGCACAATTAGCAAGAACATTCACTCCAAATACTAATTTATACGCTGACAGTTATTTCAATGAAAAAATAAAAACCTTCTTAACAACTCCACTACCAATGGATTTCCCAGCCAAGTATACAAATCCAGTTGAAGTAGAGTATTTAATAAAGAAACTCCTCTAGGGAAAGCACGCGGTTATGATCTAGTTACCAATAAAACTTTAAAAAATATATCACAATAACCATGCTTTTGTTAACCTTTTAACATTTACAATGCAATGCTAAGGTTAATATATTATCCTATAGTCTGGAAGTTCGCAACTATTATTTTAATACCCAAGCCAAAAAAACCAAAACAAATCTTTACGTCTTATAGACCAATAAGTTTATTATCAGTATTAGGAAAACTTTTCGATAAAATATTACTCAGAAGACTACATCCTATTCTATCATTACATAACATTGTACCAAATAGTCAGCTTGGGTTTATTGACTTGTGGACAAAAAAATGGCGAGTAAAAATCAATGAAGATAAATCTGCTCAAATCACCTTCACTCTAAATTTCAAACCACAAAAATGTCCTCAAATTATTATGAATAATATTCCTATACCAATAAAAGAAGAGATCAAGTACTTAGGAATTACGCTTGACAAACGACTGATGTGGGGCCTTCATCTAAAAGAAAAAAGAAAAAGTGCAAGAAACAGACTACATCTTCTACGTCCTCTCCTTATTTCAAAACTTCAACTTAAAACAAAACTATTATATGCCCAGTTTGGTCTTATTGTATCCAAATCTGGGGTTCAGCCAAAGCATCGAACATAAGGCCAATACAATCGTTTCAATTAATAGCACTCAGACTTCTAACTAAATCTTCATGGTACATAACAAACATAAATTTACATAAAGATCTGCAAATTCAAAATGTAAACGAACTTGCAGTAATGTACTACAAGCGATTTCATCAAAATTTATTAACACATAGAAACCCATTAATTAATAAAATGTCAACAAATACTCTACCCTCAAATCCTCTTCAAAAAAAGTATTAAATTTATATAGCCCATTTTCTTTTTAGAATTAATTTATTTTATATTCTATAATATTTTTTTTATATCTAGATAATACTTACTTGGAAAAATTACTCTAAATATTTTTGAATTTCATGAATTAATTGAGTTATTACTACTAATAGTTGTCTTTTAATTTAAAAAGATGTATTTTTGCAAATTCATGTCTGGCTCAATTGCAAAGTATTAAAATTACAAGTAGTAAAATTTCACTTACAATTACAGCATGATTAATTATCAATCTGCGATACGGCTTTATACTTAGCATGTGTCCATTTCTTGCAGCTGGTGCTATCATTAAATTTTTTCGAATTTTAGCATTGTATTCGGGTCTTTCTGGTAAACCTATAAGTGTTATTCTTGCTTCCATAAAAACTCCCACTACGTCTACCTTCGAATAATTTGTAGTTTTAAGACAAAATCAACAGTAGCTGGAAAGTCGTAAATGCCAAGTTCGTGAATACTGAAAAAAAATTTATTGATTTATTTAATCATCACTTGAGTAAAAATGTAAGTTAATTAAATTATTTTTATTTAAATCTCATTTACCTGTAATTCCAGTTCATCTGAGATGACGAATTTTATTAGATAAGCTCATAGCTCTATAATTAGAGAGCCATATATCAAATCCGGCATTAGCTAAACTGAATGCTAGATAAAAAAAATTCTGCTATCATAATATAATATATGTTTATATATTATTTAATCATTACATTTCAAACATTTAAGAAATTTGAACCATTATTTTATAAGAAAAATGTATTTTACTTATCTGTCAATTACAATTAAAATGAAAATTTAAAAATAATGATTTTCTTATGAGGTACTAAAATGTTATATATATTTTTTACAAAAAATGAAACGTAATATATAATCATATTTACAATATAAGAAATTAGGTTCGAAGATTTTACAGACGGAGCCATCTAGAAAATCTAAGTGAGCCGCTTTAAATTGAAACTAGTAAGAAAATATGATCCATAACATAAATCATTGTTAGCCCTGTGTCTTGCAAATTAATAACCCTTGTCATCAGTAAAAGCGCAAGGGGTGGGGCTAATTTACATAAAACTGAAATGTTTAATGTAAAATACAATTGCATTGGTGGAACTTGGCCCGGCGCACTGCCGTGAGCGCCTGCTTTCAACGTACCATAAATTTATATCTTTTATATTGTAAAATATATTTTTAAATTACCCATTGAGATGTTAGTTATTACATAGGGAATTGAACTACTAAGTAAATGGCACATGAGAATTACTGACTTTCCAATAGTTCCATTAAATCATTTTCCGTGGGATATTCTTTCCATACCGAGTAAAGCTCCGTCTTCTGTTTGGAGTTGATAAACTTCTATAGGATATCCATAGGAAATTATTTTATCCGTCCAAATATAAAATAACATTTTACTTAAAAAATAAAAATCTAATTACTTATCTGTTATTTGAATCTTTATACATTCAATTGTATACTCTTGACATTAGGTGTTACAAGTCCATTGTTTTTAAATAATACTTAATATTTTGTTGAAGAATGCGACTATGAGTAAAAAAAAAACGGTAGCACAGTGGGAACGCGGCACAGTATTGACGTGGCATAGTTGGGACAAGTATAGATGATATCTGATAGAGATTAAAATCACTATCATAAGAAACGCTTCGATGCAAATCTGTAAATAGTGTTTTAAGAAATTGACAGACTATTTTAAAAACAACAATATCTCTTATTTCCTTAATTTTATCCCGATTAGTTATTTGATTTATAATTATAATATATGAATAAATAATAATTATAATAATTAAATTTGGTATTAAATTGATATTCAATAATTTAATATTGTAATTTTTACGGAGATATTATAAAAATAATAAAGTAGTTGTATACTTCTTTACTTTTAACGCGTAGAAAAATTTAAAAAGCTTGATGCAATACTTTTCAATAAAAAATATTTGTTACTTATAACAAAGTTGTAAGTTTTATACACTGGACTACAAGGAACTTTCATCAGAAACAATAATATACCTTTCTAAATCAACTATTCGCAATGCTTTTAATGTGCAATTAAACTTTTTCTATTACTTCTAAGTTTTAATATTATTACTTATTATTAAAAAATAAGTATTTACATATAAAAAAAAAATAATTAAGAAAAAAAAAATTGTATTAAATTAATATTGATTTTGATTTTTAATATGTTAAAGGTAATCATTTTGAACCTACTCTTTTTTGTCCTTTAAAGTGAAAGTTTTAATGAAAAAAAAATGAATTTGTTACCATAACTTAGAGTTCAACTTGCAAGTTAGAAATTGACATTATTAAATAGAAAAAAATGAAATTTTTAATATTAATATGCAATCAGGAAATTTTATAATTTTTATTTATAGTACATTTATCAGAAAAATTAGATTTTTTTGCATTTTTATCGTATTAGATAATTGAAATAGAAATAATAGTAATCATTTCCTAATAACGTCGTGGGGTTGATTGCGCTACGACAGTCTAGTCCAAGGCCATAGACGACGGGATACGCGAGATAATAACATGTGGCGCGTGGAGAGTTACAAACAACATACATGTTAAACTAATATAAGTGTGTGTTAAAAATCATCGCTATAGAAGATGATTCTTTTCGCAAATATTACATTTTTTGTTGAATTTCAGCGGCTATTTGCATATAAAAGAAAAGTTGTTGGGTCAATTTTTTTTTTTTTTGAACTTATAGTATTTGTTATAAGTTTTAAGTTGACATATGTTTAAAGGATGCAGTATTTGTGGAAAATTTTCAAAAGTTTAGTTGAAAAACTTTTACTTTTTATACGTATGTTTCAAGTTTTGAACGCCGCCTGTATAAGGGAAAATTGTTTAATTTTAATAAAAAGTATATTAAATGAAAGAAGTATATATAATGTATTCAGAAAAAAAATTATATTGATACATACATTCTTCGAAAAGTTATAGCAATTTAAAGTTGACAATTTAAAATCGTAAATTTCAACACAAAAATAGCATTTTCTACGCAGCCGTTTGCACGAAGGTGTCGGAATAAATTTTTTTTTTCATTTTATAGTACATAAAATAAGCTTTAATTTGATATATATTTTAAGGACGCAGTATTTCCGGAACACTTTCAAAAGTTAAGTTGAAAAAGTTCTATTTTTTATACAATGTTTCAAGTTTTGAACGCCCCCTATATATGGGGAAATTGTCCAATTTTAATAAAAAGTATGTCAAATGAAAGATGTACTTATAATGTATTTAGAAAAAAAAATTTGTGCTGATAATTACATTTTTCGAAAAGTTATAGTATTTTTAAGTTGAAAATTTAAAATCGAAAATTTTAACACAAAAATAGCGTTTTTTTAACTATGGCAGCCGTTTACATGCAGAAGATAAAGTATCAACAAACATAAAAAAGAAACATCATAATAATTAAATTTATACTCTTTACAGCTTCGTATCGAAGCTAAAATCTAGTTGCATATTGGAAATCGAAATTAAAAAAAAAACGGTAGCACGGTGGGGTCGCGGCATAGTAGAGACATTACATAGTTGGGTTCAGTATAGATTTAATCTGACAGTGATTAAAATCACTATCATAAGAAACGCTTCGATGCAAATCTGTAGATAGTGTTTAATTTTAAAAAATTGATGGATAATTACAAAAGCAACATCAACTTCTATTAAAATAAAATACAAAACCCATAATTATCATACAAAAATAGTATATTTTTCAATATGGTAGNCAACATCAACTTCTATTAAAATAAAATACAAAACCCAAAATTTTAATACAAAAATAGCATATTTTTGAATACGGTAGCTATTTTCGCATAGAAGATAGGTCGTCGGGACAAATTTTTTTTTTCATTTTGTAGTACATGGTATAAGCTTTAATTTGATATATGTTTAAAGAACGCAGTATTTCCGGAACATTTTCAAAAGTTAGTTTTTGTAAAAAAGTTGCTATTTTAAATCCCCTCCAATGAGCAGGTTAAGTGTTAAATTTTCAAAAAAATGTTATTAAATGAAAGGGAAATATCTAAGGTTTAAGTATAAAAAAAAATTATGTTGATTTTTAAAAAAGTTATGGAAGTTTTAAGAAAAAAAAGACAAAATTTACTGATTTTTAAATTTGTAATTTTTTTGGAGATTTCCCCCATTTGCGGGGAACGAGAGAAATTTTTTCAATTTTTAAGAGTAATGTCTTCAACTAGATATGATTTGTGATCTTATGACGTATCGTTGAATGAAATCGGTCAAGTGAGAGCTAAGAAAAAAGTGGCAACAGACAAAAAAAAACATGGTGAAATTAATACCTTTTCAGCTTCACATCGAAGGTAAAATTTGACTGTATTATTAATTTATAATATAGTAAAATAGGTAACTAAAATTGTAATTTTACAAAACATAAAATAAAAGGCATTGTAAAAACAGTCAAAATAACACAGACATGTGCGAGGGAGTTCACCTTTTATATTTTAATAATTTTTTTTTAGACTTTAGTTTTGAGAGCAAAAAGGTGTTGTAGTCTTATATAGTAAAATTATCACATTAAAATATTTTATAGTTTAATAAAGATTGTTAATTAGCCACATAATCGAAAAAGAGCTTAGGTTTGATGAGTTTCTCTTAAATATTCTATTAGCCAAGGCTAACTCCAAATTCAAAGTATAATTATTTTCCTGTATATCAAAGGTATCTATTTAATATTACTATGATAAATTTACCTTAATTTTTTATATTTATAAATTACTTCGGTAAATTTCTTTTAGGATAATTTCCATCTGCTATTTTTAGAATTTTTGGATAGAAAAGACATAAAATATCTCAAAGATGTTTTTTACAAAATTTGGATTGCTTAGGAGAGCTAACAATTAATGGCTAATATAGAAAATTTTCATGAGGAAATTCGATACGAGGTCTATTATAATATAAAAATTATATTTTTATTGTTGATTTAACTATAGACTGCATGAAAATGTTTGTAATCTAACTATAAATGTATTAATTTTTTGTCATAACAAGTAGAATTTTATGCAGTGATGTAATAAGGATTTTGATGTGAGGAATCTATCCCTTCATTTATGTCCCTGACTATGAACTTTATTTAGCAGTTATGATGCACATTGTTTGCAACTATTAATGGATCATCTAATGGTTATATGTTCAGCCTTTTTAATTTCCATAGACATAATAACTAAACTATTATGTCTATGATAATTACACTTATGTTTAAAATTATTATTTTGATATGAAATCTAATGATGTAAAATGTTAAGTGATGAAATAAAATATGTTAACTGGTCAATGAGCAAGGCACACTGGTCTTTCTTCTATGGATAGTTAGGCCAGATCTCAAAATTTAGGCTCATGCAGAGCTCTGAGTTAATAGTACATAAAAACATGACTTTATACCAGAATTTTTTCTACATTACATAAAAGAATAGCTCTTAAAAATATTATAAAGCTATAAAATTTATAGCATTTATTTAGTTTATTACTAGTTTTTTAAACAATATATTATTTTCTTTATTTATATACTTGGGGCAATCATATTGATCCTTATTTATCCAACTAGGTGTCACATGATTCCAATTTCTAGATTTTACATTCAATTTATTTAGAATTTTATTGGTTAATGCTGGTATAATGGGTTGTAGTGCTAATGCTGAAATTCTTAAAGTTTCTAATGTAATGTGTAGCACACATGATAATTTAATGGCATCATTTTTAGCTAGTTGCCAAGGTTTATTATATTCAAAAAATCTGTTGCAGCACTGTAAAGTAGCTATGATTTCATCAATTCCTTTATAAAAGTTCAATTCCTCATAATGATTCCCTACAGTATTTGATAATATATTGAGTCTGGTATTTAATTCCTTAAATTTAGAGTCCAATAGTAATTTTTCAATTGCAATTGAATCTAAATCTGGGTATATCATATTAGGATTTATCGCTTTCCCACAACAGCGGTTTAATAAATTTCCCATTGTATCAGCTAATTCTGCATTAAGAATTCTTCTTATTTTTAAATCACTATAATTACCATCACTATGAGCTGTTCCTTCTCTTAAAAGAAAATATCTCAATCCAGACTCTGTGTATAGATGACTAGCTTCAATGGGGTCAACAACATTTCCTTTGGTTTTAGACATTTTTTCATCATTAACTTTCCAATGTGAATGGACAAAAATTTGTTTTGGTAATTTTAAACCAGCAGCTAACAAAAAAATAGGCCAATATATTCCATGAAACTTTAAAATATCTTTTCCACAGATATGTACATCAGGAGGCCACATTTTAATTTCAGGATAGCCAGAAATTGTTAAATAATTAACAAGAGCATCTAACCATACATAAATAGTTTGAGTATCATCGCCAGGTACTGTTAAACCCCAATTTACACGATGTTTTGGTCGCGATAATGAAATTTCATACAAATAATTAATTTCTCTTAATAGAATGTCATGAAATATTTTCGGTTTTATTCTTTCTTGGTGATTTAACCAATCAACCAGTTTTTCTTTAAAAGGGCGCAAATCAAATTTATAATTATCTTCTTCAGTCCATTCAACAGGCCTTCCTGATTCTTTACTTACACGCATTCCATTAATAATTTCTATTTGGTCTTCCGATAAAAAAGTTTCATCAGCTGTACAATACCATCCGTTATATTTACCTTTTTTTATATGGGGTTGCAATCTTTTCCAAAAATGCTGTACTGAAACATTGTGTTTTTTTGATGTAGTTCTAATAAATGAAGAATGACTAATATTGAATTTTCTAAATGTTGTCTCATAATAATTTGAAATGTTTTGGCAATAATTTTCAACTGACACTTTGTTGGCTTCAGCTGCCCTTTGAACTTTAAGTCCATGCTCATCAGTACCTGTACTAAAAATAACATTAATACTTGGATTACAAAGTTTTTGAAATCTTGCAGAAGCATCAGCAATTAAAGCACTGTAAAGATGTCCAATGTGAGGATCTGTAAAAAATATTAAGTAATTAAAAGTAAACAATTTAAATAAAGTTCTGAGAAAAAATACTTAACAGCAAAAATTATTCAATTTATTAAATTTGTAATGAATAAATATTTTATTATTCACTTACTGGCATTTACATAAAATATAGGAGTTGTAATGAAGTATGAGGTTTTATACATATTCTTAAATTTATTACTTATTCCACACATTAGAAAAGTAAACAAGAATTAAACCTATACATTATTGAATTTCCACAATACAATTTATCAAATGTAAAAATTATAAACAAATAAGTTTATAATATATCAGTTTTTAGTAATATTTGTAAGTTTTTTCAATTTCAAATATTAAAAACTAGTCAACTAGAAATTTTATACAAAATTTAATGTTATCAGGCTGATATTATCAAAAAACAACTTATGGGTGTTGGGTTTAGTATTATATGATTACTCATTTATCTGAATTTAGTGATAAAAAAATAGATTTAATAATAATTTGATAACATTTTCAATCTTGTCATGTTGTTTTATTATATTATTATTCAATAATATATATGTTTAAATGTAATCATAGTATTGCTGTGTGTATTATTACAAGCCTGATTTGAATGAGAAATTTGAGTTTTATTTTTAATATTAATAATCGTAGTTATTTAATATAAACTGTAACAAATGGATTATAAAGAAGAGCAACAAAATGAAATTGATGCGTTAGATTCAATTTACTGTGGTGAAATGAAAAGTAAATGTTAATTATTTAGTCCGTTATATATTATAGCGTGATATAAATGATATTTTTAGTATTAGCTATAGAACCATTCTATCAGTTTGAAATTCCAATAAAATCAGATGAATTTGATAGTGATCAACATGATATTGGCTTGTCATGTTGTTTGAAATTTCAATATATTGATAAATATCCAGACGAACCTCCAATTGTTGAAATTGATGATGTGGTTGGTTTTGAAGATCAAGAAAATGAACTTTTAGAACATTTAATTCAGCAGGTTGATAATAATATAATAGTTTTTATTTATAATAGGTAAACAGAATTAAGAAGTGGACACCTTGAGTTTAGTAGTAATTATACTGTGTTAATTCTTTCATAATTATAATTTTCTTTTAAGTGTCATAGTGGTATCATCTAAATTAGTTTTATAATGTGTACACTGATTAGAGAGTGCTCATATAGATTACTGAATCCAACAAACAGAACCATTTATGGTCAAAATTTGAGCAAGAGATTGAGCTTTAAGAACTGCTGTATTTTTAACTCACCCATGCCATCATTCTGTGATGTTTATTCCTAAATATTATAGGAAGCCGAAATTTTCTGTTACTTAGGTGACCTTATAGAGAAATAAGTTCATTTTTAATCAATAATATCCAATGTAATAATATGAAAAATATATTTCATTTGGATGAAATTTATTAACCTATTTACTACGTTTGATACAGTATCAATAATTAATTACCATCCAATTTTGTCAATGTAATTTCATAAGTTTTACGATGTGTACATATATAATTTTTAGGCCCAAGATAATGTTGGAATGGTAATGATATTTACCTTGGTATCTGCAGCACAAGAATGGATGAACGAGTACTCTGACAGAGAGAAAAAACAAAAAGAACATAATGAAGAAAAAAGAAGAGAAAAAGAAATTGAAGCTGAAATGGTAAACTGCCTAATGTTACTTTATAGTTGTATTAGACATTTCATTATGTAGATAAAAAAATATATGATTATTAGAAAAGGTTTGAAGGAACCAAAGTCACAGTAGAATCCTTTTTGCGATGGAAATTTCAATTTGAAGAAGATATGGGAGTTTTAAAAAAACGAAATGATGAAGATAAAAGTAAAAAAATGACTGGACGTGAATTATTTATGACAGATAAGTCATTAAATGAATCTGACTTAAAATTCTTAGAAGAAGGTATAGTTAATTTTAATATCTTACAAAAATTTTAATTATGTCATACTAATTTTAGTCTTAACTTTTGCGTATAAAATATTTTTTTAGGTGATTCAATCAAAGTTGATGAATCATTATTTGAAGAAATAGAAGATTTAGATTTGGAGGATGAAGAAAGTAGTGAAAATGATGATTAAAATAAATTTTAAATGCTAATAATTATGTTAATTTTTTGTCTCAAATTGTACTATTATTTAAGGATAAGTATAAAGTAAATTCTTATTAAAGTTATTGAAGAAAGTAATTAATATTTTTTTTTTATTATTTGACACTGGTATAATTAGTTAGTGGCTTGTAGGGGGAGGTAGTTTTCCTAAAAAATCTGAAAATATATATGTCTTACATTTTTTATAGAGTATAAAACTGAAATAGCCTCTAAAATTGTGTTCTAATTATGAAGATTAACTAGGGGATTATAAAGTGTATCTCCTTGTTTTTAAGAAAATTATATGTATTTATGTATAACAGTATAACTGTAGACTTTTCCTATAAACTTTTATCTAGTTAATTTTAAACGTTTTATCACTTGCCTCTGACTTGATATAACAATAAAATAAAATCAATAAGTTTCAAGTCTAGTCTAGCTTATTTATGATTTAGAGAAATATGATTTTCCATTAGTGTTATAATTTGCAGAATCTATAAATTTGTATTATCCTAATTACACTGATGTCTTGAAAGTTTGATATAAAATCGAGTGAAGTGTAAAATTAGCGAAATCTTTGGCCTTAAATTAAATCATAGTAAGATTTGTTTACTGTATATTATAAGGTATTTTAGTTTCTAATTCATTTTTAGTTTATAAATTAATAAAAAAAATTATATCTATTTTTATATAAATGAGATTTAGGAAATGTATTTTGTCGTTTGTTTTATGGTAACCTTAAGAGTCATAGTTACTCCTTCCCATCCAGGGGGATGGAAACCTTTGGGTTCTTTTGTTAAATCGAGAGATTGATTAAAAGGTTATAGTGTGCACCGTTGAAACTAATGTGCACATTGATATAAATGAGATTTAGGAAATGTATTTTGTCGTTTGTTTTATGGTAACCTTAAGAGTCATAGTTACTCCTTCCCATCCAGGGGGATGGAAACCTTTGGGTTCTTTTGTTAAATCGAGAGATTGATTAAAAGGTTATAGTGTGCACCGTTGAAACTAATGTGCACATTGATATAAATGAGATTTAGGAAATGTATTTTGTCGTTTGTTTTATGGTAACCTTAAGAGTCATAGTTACTCCTTCCCATCCAGGGGGATGGAAACCTTTGGGTTCTTTCGTTAAATCGAGAGATTGATTAAAAGGTTATAGTGTGCACCGTTGAAACTAATGTGCACATTGATATAAATGAGATTTAGGAAATGTATTTTGTCGTTTGTTTTATGGTAACCTTAAGAGTCATAGTTACTCCTTCCCATCCAGGGGGATGGAAACCTTTGGGTTCTTTCGTTAAATCGAGAGATTGATTAAAAGGTTATAGTGTGCACCGTTGAAACTAATGTGCACATTGATATAAATGAGATTTAGGAAATGTATTTTGTCGTTTGTTTTATGGTAACCTTAAGAGTCATAGTTACTCCTTCCCATCCAGGGGGATGGAAACCTTTGGGTTCTTTCGTTAAATCGAGAGATTGATTAAAAGGTTATAGTGTGCACCGTTGAAACTAATGTGCACATTGATATAAATGAGATTTAGGAAATGTATTTTGTCGTTTGTTTTATGGTAACCTTAAGAGTCATAGTTACTCCTTCCCATCCAGGGGGATGGAAACCTTTGGGTTCTTTCGTTAAATCGAGAGATTGATTAAAAGGTTATAGTGTGCACCGTTGAAACTAATGTGCACATTGATATAAATGAGATTTAGGAAATGTATTTTGTCGTTTGTTTTATGGTAACCTTAAGAGTCATAGTTACTCCTTCCCATCCAGGGGGATGGAAACCTTTGGGTTCTTTCATTTAATCGAGAGATTGATTAAAAGGTTATAGTGTGCACCGTTTAAACTAATGTGCACATCGATATGTCCACAAGCCCAGACGAGTCTGATACCATGAAACTGACATGTAAAGCCTACTGCATAGGGTTCCAGATTCTCTGGTTTATCAGTATAAGCCTAAACAACTTTAAACTGGTCACGGTCAACATAAACATCTATCTGCGCCTATTGTCTCACTATTGAGACACTACCAACAGGACTGTGGGGACCTTCAAACGGTTCAGTCAAAATTCTGGAACAGAGAGACCACAGCTTTAGTGACAAGCTCCGATAAATAAGAAGTTTACCACCATTTTGTCGTTTGCTTCACAGCATACATTAAAATTTTTCATTTGTATATCTTTCGATTAATTATATTTTTAAAAACGATTTAAAATTTATGATAATCAAAACTGTGGTTAACTTAATAGATAATAACGATGTAAAATTTTTTTTGATACCTTTCAATACAAAGTATTATTATGGATTGAATTCACGTACTGTATTTAATGTGTAGTATTATAACTCGACAATTATTTATCTATGTAGTAGGCATGATTGTAGATATACAAACATAGTTTAGTCCGTTAAATACTTGCTTTGTGTTATCATACTGATAATATTCACTAATATTTGAAATATTATCACATTTAACTCTAAACAATTAAACGACTGAGGAATTGTTTAAATATTTTGTTTGATGAAGTGTAAATTAATTACATTTTTATTAATTATTTAATTAATTAATTGAAGGTATAAGTATTGTAATATTATAGTTGTTAATTATTACTAAATATTTCTTAACATTTGATAAATTTGTTTCAATAAAAATTAACAATTAGTTTAATTTTTTACATTATTTAATTATTTAAAAGATTAAAAAAATAATGTCTATCGACAATAACAGTTTAGAAGATATGGTTGAAAAGACATTGGAATCTGCTGGAGTACTTTCAAAAATGAGGGTATGTTTAGTCAAATGTTTTTTTGTATTCATATTATTAAATTTGGTTTTAATTAGCCTCATCCATTGATATGGCTAGTTAAAAATCAAATCATGTTTAAGAATTGATTTTTTAAAATAATTATTATTAAATAGTAAGTTGTATATATATTTTTTTATAGGCAGAACTGAGAGCTAATGTTTTTCACATTCTTGAAAAAGGTTCATCATTCCAAGTTAGTTATCAAATATTTAGTTGATTATAAGTTCTACATATCATAAATTCTATAATTTTAATATATAAATGTAAAAGTGTTTTGTTAGTATCAAAATTCCTGGAAAAAATTTGTATAACATTTATCTTGTAACAATTGTGTAATATTAGTTAGAAGCTATCAAAAAAATTAATTTCTTTAGCAAATTTAAACTTCCATATAGTATTTTTATCTAAAACGATTATAATTAATCTAATAGTATCACTGTTGCCATATGGAAAAAATGATACTATTTTTATAAATCATTTTTTTTCTAATAGGTATGTATAGGTAATAAAAAAATAATAATAGTGGATTAAAGGTGTGTACTATTATTATTATAAATAATATATTTATTTATATTATTATAAATTACAGTTAAAAAAGACAGCATTTTTTTTCATAAACTAAAGATATATTATATTGCTGATATATAATTTTATCACTTTTTTTATTTTATTACTGTGATTAAATTGATAGATGAATTTTCAATCTAAACTTCCCAGATTTTTCTAATCGGTAAATTTTATTTTCTGTTAGTTGGTAGTACTGTTAGTACATCTGTGCTGAAAATTCAACAAATATTGTTCCAAAACCTAATTATTTGCCTAATTTAGCTCCGAGTGACTTATGACTATTCAGCAATCTCTAGAGACCACTTAGGGGACACCTTTTGACTAGATTTAGCACATAAAAGCCAAATCGTGGAAGACTCTAAAGGTTTTTTTCGGAGGAGTACTTTACCGAGTGCTATGATCACTGGAAAATTTGTTAGCATAAGTGTATTGCAGTGAAAGGGGATTACTTTGAAAGGGATGTAATAGATTTGGAAGAATAAATAAAGATTTTGAAAATATAAGAAAATTCACCTTTCAATTTGATCTAAGTAGTATATTCATTATACAATTTTATATAAAGTATTTGATTAAGTAACAGTTAGTGCAGTAACATAAAACACTAGACAGTAAGTAACTATAATTAATACAAATAAGTAATAGAGCATAAATAATATAAATACAGTCCTTATTATTATAAATAAGATATTTTATTAGCTTTTCAATGAACTTAAAACATATTAAAATAAAAATGTTATAGGATTTTTTTATTTCTTATAAATGATAATATTAATAATTTTTTTGAATGTTAATGCTTTTAATCAAGATTAAAATTAATTTTGTTGAGAATAGTGTTTGTTATATTGCACATATACTTAGAAATATATATTTTTGAAACAAGTCAAATTAAAATTTTTTAATTTTCTAGAAAAATAATGAATATTTATATTTATTTAGAGTCAAATAAATATTTGTTTAAAATTTTTGAATTATAAAAAGGTATTTAAAGTTATCCTTATAGTTTTTTACACCAGTTGCTCCCATTAAGTGTCATAAACTGTTTTTATGTAAAATGCTATTTTTATGTCCTTTTATGTTCTTAAAATAATTATAATTTATATTTAATATTGAATAATAAATAAATAAATATTTTATTACTTGTAGGATAAATCATATACGGATACTATTAAGAAATTTACTTCTAATGACAATGGTGTGTTATTGATGTCTCTAGTCAAAAATTTATTTGAATACCTTGGTTTAAGTTTTACTGCTTCAGTTTTTGATTCAGAAACGGGGGCAGGACAGAATTTTTCCTATAAAAGCAAAGATGACATATATAAAGAAGTTTTACTACCAGAAGGTATAATTTTGATATAGCACATGCATATGTATTTATTTTTTATGCAGTTATTCTTAAAATAGAATTGCTATATGTTAACTATAATATCTAGTTTTATTTTTCATACTAATTACAAACAATTTTTCTGTAAGAAAACTTTTTAAAAATTTAATAAGAATAGTGTAGCATTTCAAATTATTTTTTTTATTTAATATTTATGAAGTATAGAATAATTAGCATTTTGATGGGATATTCTATGAATATTATATATATAAACAGTATATAGAAAAAATCTAGACATTTTAAGAAACCCATAGAATTTAAAAATATTGTCCACATATTAATTGTAATGTTATCATAGTATTTAAAAACCTTAAATATCATCTTAATAAACTGTATTTAGACTGGTATACATTTTTTGTATAATATAATTATTATTATACATATATCAAATTTATTTTTCCTTTTTAGATGATAAAAAACCTATAATTTTGCAAATATTAGAACTTCATAAAATTCATTATGTAAAAGATTTGAAGATAAATCAGGAAAGTAAATTGACTGGGAGTAATGATTTATCTTTAGATAATACATCAACTTTTAAAGCTCAATTGGACATACCGCAAAAAACAATTGATTTTCACTCTTCTCCTTCTAAATCGGCAAGTTTAACTTCTATCAAATCAACAGTACTCCAAAAAAATGTATACATGAATGAAAAACTATCACAGGATAATAAAACTAATCATAAAAATCATTCAGAAGTTAATATTTCTGGTATTGTATGAGTATCATATGACTACATTTTGTGTATTAAAAATTTATTAATTTCAGATAATCACCCCACTGATAATGAAAGTATGACAGCTTCATCTCTAAAAATTATTAATGAAGAAAGTAATTCAGAATCAGAAAATAATCAAAATGAATCTAGCTTGGACGAAATAGAAACCGATGAAAATATGACAGTTGGAAATGATAGTATTCAAAGTTCATCAACAGATTTATCATTAGGTAAAATTGCCAGCTGACTGCAATCTATATTTGTATTTTTGATTTTCTTAGATATTGTACTAATATTAATAAAATTAAAATTTTAGAACTAGAACTATACATTTAAAAAAGCTTAAATGTTTGAGTGTAATGATTTTTAATATTAATTTTGTTTCTAAAATCACTTAGATTTAAATGTTTGTCTAAGAAAAAAAAATAGATTTTAAAATTAAAATATCACATTTATATTTATATAAACTACATTAGTTTAACATGCATTGTACTTTTTTTAATGTGATTTATTTTGAATATTAATTTTTTCTGTACTATTTTTAGTATTCCATTCAAACATTAAAATTATATTTCTGTAACTTATTTTTAAAAATTTAAGATAATTTCTCTATTTATTATATTTTTATAATGAGACTGTTTCAGAATGATATATTCAATACCATATTCTTAGTAATCATAGGCACAACTTGAAAATATTGTTTGTGAGAAAATTGAATTTCAAAAGTTTAGATAATAGGTAATAATAAAGATATTTTCCTTTTATTGTTTTACGTTCTTTTATTTTCTCTTAAAAATCTAGTTTATTTATGATGGTTAAAAAAAATATTAATGAAGGACCCTATAGCCTTATGTAAACTAGTTTAGTGTTTAGTTTAGTTTTTAACTTTGTTTAGATAAAAAAAACTAGAAAAAATGTTAAATTAATTTTTGCATTATAATTATTTATGTTAAAAAGGTAACTAGTTTAACTAAAAGATGAACCCACGAAAAAAGGAACTAGTCATCTTACTCAATTTAAATTTTTTATTACATTATTATTCAGTCTTATTTAAGTTTAATTTTCATTAATCTTGGGAATGCCAATTTACTATTTTAGACAAGGCTTGGAGCTTTAAGTAAATACATATTTGTTAAGAAAGTGCATATCGATAATTTTTATTTAATACTAATTTATGTATAATTTCACTTTGCATATTTCATCATTTTTTATCAATTCAATATTATTTGGTTTTCAAACATATATTTGTATATTTGAGATATTAACATTTAAAGATTTAGAAAATGTGAGTAGTGAGGTGTAATTTAGTAATAATATTTTTACCAATGATAAAATTATTATTATGGTGTCCATTTTTCGCACATATACCTAAAATTATTTGAACTCAAAAAGCAATACATCAAAACTTATTATCAACCAATCAAACCAATCATCTAGTTCACTTTCAATATTTTTTCAACTACATTTTTTGTAGTATAAAACAAAATTTTTTAGGGGAGTAGTTAGTAAATTACATTCCATCTTAAAATTGTACACCATGTGGTGTATGAATTTTAGGTGTATATTAATTTTTAGTGCAAAATTTACTGTTTTTTTTTGCATTCCTATGAATATATTTTGTTGTTTTTAGGATATAAAGTTACGAGCCTTCATTATAAATAACATGATTATCAGGTAAATTGATAATCTATCAATGATCAATAAAACAATATTTATTAATTTGGTAATTTAATAATAAGAGTACAAACTATTTAAAATAATGAACAAAATGGAAAAACTAGAAGTGAACACAATAATATTAAATTTATCATTGCATATTTTGTGATTCTGCTAACAATCGTTCACCAAATGATTTTGAGACAAGACTTACTGTTTCCATATACCGATCCATACACATGGTTACACATTTCTAAAAAATTAAAAACTGTTCAATAAAATATAGAAACTTATTGAATTATATATTTTTTAAATAGAATAATATGAATAATTAATTATTTAATATTTTCTAATAGCATTAACTATTTAACTAATAGTTAAATAGACTTAGATGATTTGGCCATGCTAAAAGGAGAGAAGAATCGGAAGCTGTAAGTACAGTTATAAAAATGAATGTTGACGGGAGAAGAGGTAGAGGAAGACCAAAAATGAGATGGAAGAATGCTATTGAATGCGATTTGAGGACAGATGATGTGGGAGGTCGTATCAAGTGGAAGTTTAGGATAAGGGTGATCGAACCCAAGTAGTTGGGCTAAAGAGTGAGGAAGAAGAAGAGTTTTAACTATTTAACTGTTAAGTATAAGTAGTTTCATACAAGAAGAACATGTTAATAACATGTTTATTGTAATTAGAGTATAGTTTTCTAATAATAAGTAGTGTAATATACATAATAGTGTATAACATAAAAATTATCATTTAATATATAACCTTTTGACTTACTTGTTCTGAGCTATCTAATGAGGAAGCTGGTTTTGAGACACATTTGTTGAAACACAATCTACTCATTTTCTAAACAGATTATAATAAAGAAAAAGTATAAGAATTTATACTAAACAAGATTGTATTAAAAATTAATAAATTTTCATATAGTAGAACTTATTTTTATTTCAAAATAGTGTATATTGTTCATATCTTATTTACATTGATTGATAAATGACTAAGTTTACTGTAATTTAATTTATATTATTCTTTTGCAACTCAATTTATCAATAGATACTTTACAGTTGTAGCAATTTGTATTAGTTTAAGACCCCATAATTGTCCATAAATTTAAATAAATTTATATCAAAACAAAATAACAGTGTGTTATTGTAAAAAACTTTTTATAAGATATTACGCTTTTAAAAAGTTATATATTTTATAATTATATTAAGTTTAATTATTGACTCAAAAAGGAAATAACTTATTAGTTAGAAAAATAAAATGATGTAGTGACATGGACGCATTACATACCAAGTAAATTAAAGGAAAAATTTACAATTAAAAAAAATATTTAATACCGTGAGTAACAACTCTATGTTTTCGAGAGCTATTTGTTGTTTTAATTTATCGACAATTTCATCTTGAGATAATTTAGATGTATCCATTTCGAAGAAAAGTTACATAAAATTTTTAATAACAAATTATGGCAAAATAATTTTTAACCAATAACATGGAAATCTTATTAGATTATTACACTTTTCAAAACTTTGAAATTAAATATTGAAGAAGTGTTATTAAAACATATCACGCTCATATTAGTCGGCACTCTTTATCATCATTTAACCTCAAATCATATATACGTAAAAACATGACAAAATAGATCTATTTTGTTATGCATACAAAGACGTTCTAAAAAATATAAGTAGTTAACAGGGTCTATAAAATGGGTATATTAAGTGCGTATTAGTTACATGACTAAGTCTATTTTGTCGTTACAACAATTTAATTTTTGAAATTTATTATTCGTATGTAATTTAAATTTGTTAAATGAATTTTGAAACTGTTCAAACACTTGTATTTGGGTAACTGTAATATATTGAAGTATTTTTAAGCTTATTCGTTTTATTTATTATCCTGAAATCAGATAAACTAAACTAGAGAGAAGAAATGTCATCGAAGTTATGAGAGAAGAGTGTATATAATTATTAAGAAGTAAATTAATGTTTTTTTCATATATTTTTTATATCAACGTAGAGTTTGTGTAATTAATTCCACTAAAAATAATCGGATTTGGTTAATAAGTCATAAGTAGTATTTTTACAACTTATTATTTTTGTTTACGATTATAGTAGTAACAAACGAACCCAATATAATAATTTGTAGATTTAACGGGATTTTTTGAAAGTAACTTGGTGTTGTGTGTTTTACAATTGGTTGGATGGGTATATTCAGTTTGATGTAATACTTAGGTTATGATAATAGAACTATTAGGAAGTTATAAAATAATAAAATAATTATTATTTTACCTTCAATGCCTAGTTGAGAAGGTATTAATTTTGTTGATATGTTTTTTTTTGTGACTGTTACCACTTTTTCTCAGCTCTTACCTAACCGATTCCTTTCAACGATATGCCAAAAGATCACAAATCGTATCTAGTCAAAGATATTAACCTCAAAAATTAAAAAAATTTTCCTCATTCCTCTAAAATGGGGGACATCTCCAAAAAAATTACAAATTTAAAAATTGCTAATTTTTGACATTTTTATAACTATTTGAAAAATGCATGGATAAATACATTTTTTTAATGAAAAATACTATTTATATACATCTTAAGAAGTATGTCGAATGAAATTTCATTCGACATACTTTTGTTTTAAATCGGACCATTTCTCTTTATTCAGGAGGCGTTCAAAACTTAAAAATGCATGTAGAAAGTAAAACTTTTTCAACTTAATTTTTGAAAATGTATCCAGAAATACTGATACTTATATATATATATTTATATATCTTAAATTAAAGCGTATGTGATATACATTATTATAAAAAAAAATTTTCGAACTTTGTTTTGTCTTCACTGTGAAAATGGCTACCGTATTAAAAAAATGCTATTTTTGTGTTATAATTCTCGGTACAGTATTTTAATTTATTTTAAAATACCTTACGGTTTTTGAGTAAAAAAAAAATGTTTAACTCATTTAGATTCAATAATTTCAATGAATATCAAGGACTCCATCTCTGCAGTCTCCCTTATTTAGAAGAAATTTCTTATTCATATCAAAATTATTTTATTATATGATATTTTTTTTGTCGTTCTCAATTATTTTCTCAGCTCTCACTTGACTAACTTTTTTTAACGACACATCAAATAATCACAACTACTATATAGTTAAAGATATTATCCTTAAAAATTGAAAAAAAAACCCTTTATCAAATAAAAAGTTGCTTAACAAGTTTTCTGTATACAAACAATTAAAATCATTAATTTTTAATATTTTTAAAGTATTAGATAATTTTTTAAATCTAATGTATATGTAAATATTCATTTTTTAATAATTAGTTATAATATCAAAACTTAGGAGTGATAGAAATAGTTTCAGACTTGAAAACAATGCGCAAAGTTGATTTAGAAAAGTTTATTTTTGATTCCAATAAAAGTTCCTTGTAGACCAATGTATTTATTTATTCATACGCAAAAAAATTTTTTGTATAAAGTATTGCATCAAGCTTTTTAATTTTTATAAATGTTTGTGATAGATGTAACAAAATATACTACTTTATCATTTTTTATTATTTCTTCGTAAAAATTACAATACTAAATTATTAAATATAAATTACATACTATATTTAATTAATTGCTATAATAAATGTGTATTCATATATTACACTTAAAAATCATAAAACTTGTAATCAGAATATAAATAAGAAAATAGGATATGATGTTGTTTTTGTAATTATGCACCAATTTCTTAGAATTAAACACTATCTACAGATTTGCATCGAAGTGTTTCTTATGATAGTGATTAAAATCACTGTCAAATATCATCTATATATATTCCCAACTATCCCACGTCCATACTGTGCCAGGATACCACTGTGCTATCGTTTTTTTTATATGTATACTAGAAACAAAACTCTGAGCATGATATTAGACATGTTTTTAGGGAAAATTGCTTTTAAATGCGTTTTTGGTGGTGATGATTTATTAATAACAAAATTTTAACTTGATAATATGAATTATTTCTAAAATTTTACTTTTCAGAAAAGCTCAATTTATATATTTTTTTAGTCAATTTTTGTACAGCTTCACAAAACGATCAATAAATAATTTATAAAAAATTACCCTATCAAATAGGTTATAATTAAATATTTTGAATATTTATGTGGGAGTTGTATAGCAAAAGCGTTGGATAATTGATACTCTAAACTAAATATTAACACCTTTGGGTAAATTTTAATTCCACATGTGACGTAAAAACGGGTTTCTCATGATAAAAAAATATAATCTGGTCCTGGGTATAAAAATTTGTTGATCTCGAGAATAAAACTTACTAAAAATTAAACAATATAATTATAAATATTGTTTTTATATAATTTATTTATTGGTAAACAGTACATATTAATTCAAAATTTAATTTTAGGGTATTAAAATGGATATTGCAGAGCAATCTAAAAATATAGAAGAAAATGAAAAGTTTTTTGCGGTAAGGACTTACTAATGAATAATTTGAAAAAAATCTTTCTTTAAATTTTTTCATGCTTACCTAACAAACTTTTTTTGAAAGAAAGATTTCTTTTTTTCAAAAATATATTTTAATATTTAGTAGATTTAAAAGTTTTCAAAAAACTAAAAAGTGATAAATATAATATACATTAAATCGCTCTCTGATGTCAAGTTTTTTGAAACACGACGTTGTTGAAAGGAGCAATATGTTAAAATTAAGTATCTGAAATAATAAAAGTTTATTTAAAAAGTACTAATTTTGAACGATTAATATTCTTTTAATCTGGACATGTCGAGATTACTAAAAGTCTATATAAAAGTGCTATAATTTTTGAAAAATGAATATGCAATAAAATATTGAGTATAAAATTTTAGTAGAAACATAAGTATGAACATTTTAGTGATTGGAATTTGTCCGTTAAAATTCCTTGTACATATAGTGTATTATAGCATTATTTAGGGGGTATTGATGAAGGTTAAGAATAAAAAACTCTTTTTGAAATAAGTAAAAGAAAAGAAATAACATAGGGTAAGTCTAGGCAAAGTGAATAATGTTAATATATCAAAATATAAATGTGATGAATGAATTTTATATTCGTAAACTGAAAGTGCTGTGAAATAACTGTCGGGTTTTATTTAGTTAGCGGTTGAGTGTAGTAATAATGTACCATCATCTAAAATACTTATTTTTTCTAAAATAATTTATAGACTTATATTTTGAGTATGAAATATTAATTATATAGGCATATTTTGAAATAAATGCATGAACATATATAGTTTTCATAGTTTGGGGAGGGGCTAAGATAGATTTTGGAGAGCTAAGGTTTGTCTCCCCGTATGCAAAAGATTAGCTGGGTAGATAGAATATTAAATGATCAAGTACTACAACAAGTAAATGAGCAAAGGACATAGATAACATAAAAACAAGAAAATTACAATGGCTAGGACATGCCCTGAGACATGGTAGTCCTATACAAGTAGTACTTGAAGGAATTATACCAGGAAAAAAAGACCTAGAGCAAATTTTATATCACAGATATCTGGAGAACTGGGCCTAAAATATGCTGATATTAAAAGAAAAATAGAAGACAGGGAGGAATGGAGGAGAATTGTAGGCAGTTAACACCAGTCGAAAGACTGAGAAACCCGAAGAAGAAGAGAAGCTCTGTCTAGATCTCCAGATTGCGCTTATGGTTGGCATATAGTTCAACGATTTATGTGTAAACGATTAACTGTTATTTTATTGATAGATGTTTAATTGAACAAAAAAAAAATCGGTTAGAGGCATAATGAAAAAGTACAATTTGTTGGATTAAAACTGTTGTTTTAGATAAAATCGTTAGGGAAGTATTTATTGAAGTGATTGATTATGGAATTTCTAGTTTAATATATATATTGTTAAGAAAATGATATTCAGGTTACTGAGGTACTGAGGAAATGATTTTTTTTTTGTATAAAAAATAGAAAGTGATGTTTAGTAGTTTTTAATATTCCATAGGTAGCAACGGTAGTCAAATAGTAGGTGATTAGGGGGTAGATCGCATTCACAAATCCTATTTTATATTTTTGTATAATTTCCAAATTTTATATTTTGGTATTTTGGTATATTAGTTTAAAATAATATTCTGATATAGTTAAAACAAACAAAAAACTTTAAGTTATGAGATTACAGCATCTACGAAATTTTTTATCATAAAGGTATTTTATCTTCTTCCTTGGCAAAATCAAATTGATTGCCACGGGAGTTGGTGAATTAATATAAAAATAGTTTCTTGGTAATTTTTTTCATGTCTCATATGAATATTATGTGTATATATGATACAAATCAATTAAATACAATTTCTATGAATTATTGAAGGAATTTTTATGCGAGTCTCAAAAAAATGATTATAGTAATCAAACAACTGAATTGTTTCCTGAATATAACAAAATGAATGAAACAAGTATGTATGTATTTGAATTATCACCTTGTGGATGGATGTCTCACCAGGTTTTGACATCTTTAACAACTTTTAATATAGCAAATATTTTGCATTATTTTTTTTCAAAATAATTTTTATAGTTCTGGACTATATAGAAAATAATTTTTTTATTATTTATCATTAATAAGAACAAAATAAAAATTGATTTTTTTGTTTTTTCTAAAGTTGTCATCGATATATAAATTTTTTTGTAAGAAATGAGGTTAAAAATGGTTATTTTAAAATTAGAGAAAATAATCATTTTATATTTTTCTTATTGAAAACAAATTATAATATAAGTTTTCAATTCGTAGTTCAAACTAAAAAATATTAGAAAACAAACAGTATTACCGAAAATTGCTTGATTAATAGTTATTAAAGATGAAAATCCTGGTGGCACACTTTGTATATTACGGCTAATAGAAGAGTATGACTCCAGTGGCCTCTCTTGACTACATATATGCTTAAAGTGATGCTAAAATTTATTTCAAATACAACAGTTGCTCCTGACAAATATAAACGTTGTGTACCGATTATTCGAGATTGGTCTCCAGTTATATGTCGAGAAGTAGATAACCATCTTATTCAATCTGTCATCACTATGAAGTATTTGTATGAAACCGTTGAAGCGCGTATCGATTCCGGTTACAGTACAATAGACATTCAAAAGGGTTTGCAGAACGAAAATAAAAAGTTGTCAGAATCTATGTCTTCTTCCATTTGGAGTGCTTTAAATTATATTGAGTGTACATTGTTCGATGAATCGAAACTAATGATAACTGTAGTCAACTGGCACACTGAAAACAATCTTATTAAATACTTCATTGATATAATAGCTCAAATCGCCAAAAGTGATGGATTTACTTTAATTTGTCGTGATTTTGTCACAGAATTCACTCAGAAAACGGCAATAACAATTTTAGAAGAACATCATAAATACAGTGTAAATATTATCATCTTTGTTAAAGTAATACGAAGTTATATTAATATAAATATTGATTTTTACTATAATTAATTACGAAAATCAATTTATTTAAAATAAAGCAAGGACATTAGGTACAAGTCTAGATTAAGGGGAGTTAGAGAACTTCAGTATTTAGGAGTTTTTTTACCAACACACAAAAAAAAATATATAAATTTCAATTGACGTCTATGATTTAGATAACTTATTTTAATTTTTTACTAATAATGTCTTAATTTGGGCTTGATTAAGTCAGGTAGACTATTGCATTTACTGTGTATTTATATTTATTGAAATAACATTATTAACTTGATTGATATAAATTTTACAAAAAATGTACTATACATATAATTCGTAATTTTTTTTTCAGTCTGTACTGGTGGAATACCAATGCAATCTTTTGGCAAAATTTTGTTTTGACAAGTATATAAGATGGAATATTATAAGTTTACTTATTAATCGCCTTAAATTTGAAACTCCCGTTATTTCTAGTCCTAGTTCTTTTCGTACTATTTTCTATACGTTTCATATGATAGAAAAACTAGTTCTGAGTTCTGATTTTGCTTTTAATTCACAAAAATGTTTAAATAAAAATTCAGTAACAGATCTCTGGAAAATTAATCACGATGTCAAACACGACTATGACAATGAAAAATTTAACAGCATAATAGAAGAATGTATAAATATTTTAAAATTTATTTCTGTAGAAGCTTTAAAAAACAACGTGTTTTTATTAAGTATTAGAGCTAATCAGTGTTTAGAAGAAATACAATCAATAATAAATAAAAATCCAGACATTTCCAAAGTAATTCCAGAACAGTAGGAAAACAACGATAGATTACGTAAGGTGATCATTTAATTTTGTTATTTTGTAAATTTCAATTTTTAATAATAAAATAATTAAACCATATCGATGGTACTCACCACATAAACATTTAATAAAAATACAATTTTATTGTAACAATATTTTATTTACATAATATATTATATATCTTTAATTAATAACAAAATTTTCAAGTAAAATAAAAGAACGGTTTTAACGTAACATAAAATAGTCTTAAATATTGGACAGTTGATCCGTTTAATTTTTCAACAAATATTCAATGAAATCGAAATTGAACATTTTTAAAAGGACTCCGACTCGCCGGGTGTAATGGTGGCGAATCGGGAGACAAATGTTATTTGTCTTCGTGGTCAATATTTATTGCCGGCCTTTGAAGCTCGATCATAGGGACGTTGTCCTAAAATATAACATAAGAAATAATTACAATTAAATCTAAAAACTTTATACTAGTGATACAGTGAATTTTATTAGTATTTCTAACTATTTAAAAATAATTATAAACTATTCTACGGTAGTTAACTCGTTAAAATATTTTGTTATCAGTTGTAAATTAGTGAAAAATTCCAAAATTAAAATTTAATTTAAAGTGTATGTAATTAAATATTTCATTAATTAATAAGTGTCGTATAGTGAAGTTTTAAAATTACTTACTAAATGACTGGTAACATGGTTTAGCTGCATTGGTGCAGGTACATATGTTGTAATTGGTGAGCAACCATTGCATGATCGTTTTAATGTTGCTTTGTGTTTAGTTCCATCACATCGTATTGCATACCTAAGTTCTTGAGCCATTTCAGTACATACTGACTGTTGCTAAGGTTTAAAATACATTTTTTACATTAATTTCGTTAATTAATTCTATTTGATAATTTTTACGTTAAGAGCTTACTTGGTCTTTTGATTTATTCTTTGAATGCCAACAAAATTCTATTATAGCCACAATAACAGCAACAGTTAATCCACACAAAACTAACACGAAAATACCTCCTAACATTATAAAACTTTCATTTAGTTAAAATTTCTATGTCATAAAATGTTTATATGATTGATATTTACCTAAATCATTAAGATCTAATGGTTTAGGTTTAAACTCTTTGACTTTTTCATCTTTAATACAAATATCAGCGGCATTTTTCCACCATTTGTCATACAGCATTTGGATAACACCTCTTTCTTGAAGCTCTAGTATGGCTAGTGACAGTTTATCACGCCATACAGAACCCTTTGGAGTTGCTATACCATATCCTTTAGAATCTAGTAAACCACTTATTTGTGTTAAGTTGCAGTCTCTCTGTACTGCATAGTCTATCATTGTTGACTCCATCAAAAAGGCATAATTCCCTTCAAGTACTTTTTTAGTTCCTTCATCATATGAAGATACGAATACTGATTGATGTTTTTCCATAAACTTCCACATTTTTTGATATACTGGTATTTTAGAATCCTAAAATATTTAATTATTTATGTAATTTAAGTTTTTATTATAAAATAAAGCATGGACAGTTACTCTGAAGAATGACATTGTTGATCCACTATGAAGAGTACCATATGCGATTTTTTCTTGGGATGACAACTCTGCTACATTTTGTATAGGCTTTTGAAGACGTTCAACCGTTCGTAAGGCAGTTAAATTAGCTGTGTACGATGGTATGATGATAATAGTAAAAAACCACCACATACCTCCTAGAATTCTCGCAGAAGTAGCCTATAAACAGTTATAAAATTTAATAAAGTTAAACCAAAAAAAACTAATTTTACTTGGGCTAATTAATTGAAAAAAGAAAAACCCCAGCACAGTGGGGACGTGTCATAGTTGAGTCAAGTATAATGATATCTAACAGTAATTAAAATCACTATCATAAAAAACGATTCGTTGCAAATCTGTAGATAGTGTTTAATTAAAAAAAAAAAAAATGGATTATTCCAAAAGCTACATGATTTATTTCCTTATTTATATTATGATTACAAGTTTTATGATTTATAAATGTAATATATGAATAAATAAATAAATATATTTCTATATAAATTTTTCAAAAAGTTATAGCATTAAATTATTTAATTACGATGATTGTTTTATCATTTGTGTTAATCAAACATAGCAAGATACAAAAAGTATCAGTTTTCAGGGTTCATAAACGATGTATAAAAATCGATATCTCGCTGAATTTCTGGGAATTACACTGCAATTTTGAAAAAAAAACCCAGCACAGGGGGGTCGCGGCACAGTGGTGACGTGGCATAGTTGGATCAAGTAAATGATATCTGACAGTGATTAAAATCACTATCAAAAATAAACGCTTCGATGCAAATCTTTAGATAGTGTTTAATTTTAAAAAAATTGGTGTTTTATTCCAAAAGCTACTTGATCTGCTGGTTCCTTATTAATATTCTTATTAAGGTAAAGTATGTCGAATGAAAAAGGGTTTATTAAAAAATATTATTTGTCATAAAAAAATTGTGTGGATCCATAAACTTTTCAATAAGTTATAGCATTATAAAGTTAAAT